TGCTCGGATAAAGAAAACAATTGGGCAGTTTTTATATAATTTATCATCCTAAAAGAAAAAAAATTATTAGATCACATGAGAAATTGTATAAAAAAACTAAATCAAAGCACCTTGTCTGTCGTATTCAATGAAATGTGCATATATATATATATATATATAGATAGATATAGATAGATAGATAGATAGATAGATAGATAGATAGATAGATCAGTTATATATTCTAGTTTCATTGCGTTTGTTTGTATAGAATCTGTGGGATCGTTTCCAGTATACCATCCAGCTTAAAGCACTTTTTTGTACTTTTGTAGTTCTAGTTAAAATGATGGATTGTGTTGCTTTTTAAAGACTGTTGGGTACCAAATTCCACTCCAAGTTATTTTCCAGTATCAAATTTGGTCAGACATTGATGAATAGGTAGGAACAGTTTCGGTTAGTTTAAGCTACAAAAAAAAAATGTTCATTTTTTTAACTCTTGTTTTCAATCCTTTTATGTTTTTTATTTTTTGCCAAGAGAGGAAGACTCTTTTGTTTATTTTACTTTTCTTATCTTAGATCGTCTCTCTGTTTATAAATATAGTAGCCTAAAAATGGCTTTGACTGTAATGTATCTGAGGGATATTATTGTTATCTTAATAAATTTTCCTGACGAACATCAAAGCCTTCAATACAGCGAGAAAGGGAATAGATTCGTGGCTAATCCTCGGCGCCAATATGATACTTTAATCGAAGAATTGGCTTTTACCCATTTGATGAATGCAAAAGACGCACTGGCTTCGTAATAGTAGTCCGTTTTTTTTTCTTAGGAAACATAAAGGAGTGTATCTCAAAAATAAAACAAAGTTCGGCGAGTGTATCTCAAAAATAAAACAAAGCGTATTTATAAATTGCATATGTTTCAATGATGGAGGATTTCAAAAGAACAAATTATTAGTAATTAAGCTAATTTTCCAGCAAAATATATGCAACGAAATATCGATGATATCATTAGTTTTAATTATGTTCCTCAGGGCCATTAAAAATTGATCATCATCTTGCGCCCTCAGCCGAAATTGAACTCACTAATACTTTGATTGGTGTAGTTCATAATCTTGTCAAATAGCTGAATTCTTGATGCTTGGCTAGGGCTATCAAGGGTGTTTTTATCGTGACACCATCACTAAATGGATTGCCAACCAAGGCTCATAGAGACTCCATTCACCCTCCTCAAAGAGCAGGTTTGAATTCAGAGTTTTCCTTCTCCTAGACCAGTTGCCATCCAAGGCTATAGAACCCAGTCTGTCCTGCTATTTACCCATAGCTGGAGGGAGAAGAAAGATGATTCACACCTTTCCCAAGGGTGTTAGCACGTAAGTGGATGGTTTCGAATGGAATTCGAACTCGGCTCTCCGATTCCTCAATCCAAGCCGCTATCCATTACTCCACCGTGCCTCCTAAATAAACCGATACTTGATTCAATATTTACTCATTAATATGTAACGTTATTGTTGTAATGTTGTCTTCGTTCAGAATAACCCAGAATTAGGACGGTCGTCGTTAAAGTGAATATCAAAAGAACAGAAAACTAAAGGAAACAGGTTTATTAAATACTAACACATAGGACGGAAATACTTCAGTAAATCAAATACTACTCAAATGATATAAAATTGTATAAAACAAAACCTGTGGCACAATGCCAAAACTGGAGATTGGAAAGGCTTGCCATCATCTGTTTTATCTTAAATTTAGCTAGCCACAATCACTGAACAAAAAAAAACTATACAATATTCCTGGCACCAAAATACCAAACTCTTATTTAACATTCTTACTACAATCGCCATAATACCTCAAGGTCTCTATGAAATCCTAACTAGTCACCATATATACAATTTGTCTGTCGGAGTAGGGAATAAAATAACAACTTTTTAAAATGAATACCCAATAAATATTGAAAATGTGAATAATACAATGAAACATTATGTAAATACACACATACAACAAACTATTTCTTGATAACAGTTAATATATTTCAACCTTGAAAATGGCTAAATGTATAGCCGAAATCGCTCGGATAAAAACAACAATTGGATAGTTTTTATATAATATGTCATCCGAAAAGAAAAATTATTAGATCACATGAGAAATTATATAAAAAAAACACTTTGTCTGTCGTATTCAATGAAATATATATATATATATATATATATATATATATATATATATATATATATATATATATATATATATATATATATATCATTATATTCTAATTCATAATTCATTCTATATGTACAAGAAACTAAAAAAAGTTTTGTTAGTATTAATTAAAAAACACAATCCTTAATCTTGGTATCAGTTAACGGGACGAAATTAATGCAGGATTTGAATTAATTAAAAACCAATCATTCGACCAGCCACACACACAACCACACTCATTCAAAGACAAAAACAATTACGAAAAACACAGTCGAAGAACGAAAAATGTCCCGCATCCACCAGAGAACTAACATTTCTGGTCACCTAATGGGGGATGATAGGCGAGAGAGAATTAAACTAAAGAAAATGCGGGCAAAATAAAAGGGGCCAATGAGTATACATCGCCTAGCTAAGTTAATGGCGTAAAAAAAATAATAAAGCAAAAAGGCCTAGACTAACATATTTTGGGTGGGTTGCCAATGTTTAGGGCGAGGTTCCCAATATCCTGATACCTAACCAACTACTACTCAATTCCTTCTCTAATGTGGCTACTTGTCATATTCATAAGTAGGAACAATCCACTGTCACAGTAGTAGGGAAAATAAGGAAGTACGCTGTGTCCTACTCTACAATAGTTATCTTTACGCGTCGCGTAGAGGTTATCGGCACCAAATGTAGAATTGGCATGCTGAGTTCAAATTCAAACCGTGTTTTTTTTTTTTTTTTCACTTTCGCATAAATACCCTTAGAAAGGCAGGAATCCATTTCTTCTTCTTCTTCCCCCCAGCTATGGGTTAAATCGTCTTATAAGTTAGCAACCAGTCTCGAGAAGAACAACTTTGAGTTCATCACCGTTTGAGAGTGGATCTAGTAAATTTCCAAATAAAACTACTTAAACGGAGAACACAGCAGCAACACTTCTTTGTGAGACTGTAGCAACGTTTTACAGTGGGAAGTTTGATAGTACGAAGGAATGGAAAAAAAAATACTATCTTTATACATTTAACGGTAAGGTATCTAAGTCTTAAGATAATCATTAATTTACGGTCATATCAAGACCGGTTGAAACACTGCTTCTCACCCGATCATATATATTCACAAGAGATCAATGTATGCATTTCGGTAGATTATTAATATAAAACAGGAAGAAGGTTGTACCGGAAATCAAATCTTGGAGGACGCCTGCGTTGACAGGATTTTTGACAGTTCTCATTGAGAATTCTGTTTTTGAAATCATTAGAATCAAACAATAAATATTTCAAAAAGCTAAACAAAACAAATATAAGAAAATAATTCAAGTTCGGTGTCGTGTTTGGTATCTGTGGTACTAAAAAAACAGTTGACTGATTTTTTACGGCTTATCGACCCTTTGCAGGTCATTTAAAACCAGAAAATATTTTTAGATTGCAAGTATTTATGGGTTGATAATGTTTTAATGATACATAGTTCTAATACTTAACCCATAGCTATGGGGAGATGTAAATTTATAACTTTGGCTAGGCTATTTGAACGTAAGTTAATATAACGAATCCAACTGGAATTGGAACTCGGCTCTACAATTTCCAATTCGAAGCCAATATCACCACCTGCGCATCCACGCTTACGGCATCAAGTATTTCCAAGCGGTCACCCATTAAGTACTGACCAAACTTGACATTGCGTTTTTTCGTTGCGTAACAACAAGAATCTCTTTCTCTCTCTCTCTCTCTATATATATATATATATATATATATATATATATATATATTATATATATATATATCTTTCTTTTGTAAAACGTGTGTGTGTGTGTGTGTGTGTGTGTATGTGTCTGTAACGTTTATATAAATTGGATCGTAAAATTACCTTGTTTTCTGACTGCCAAAAATGGAAAAACATTTTTTTGCAAATCAATTTCAACAAAATTTAATTTTTCTTTTAAACTTATTATAAAACCAGGTTGTTTGTGTGTGTTTTATTATTGTTTCTTTTTCAACCGATTTCAACAAAATTTTTTTTTTGGCAGGTAGTGTTTCTTTTGTCTTGCACACTTTTTCTTTTTTATTTTTACATTCAGAATGCTTTAAAATTCCATTTACACGACAATTGTTTATAATAAAATTCTATTCAATTGATAGACTCATAACGATTGAAAACAATGTTTTTGTTTGAGTTTGACCAATTCGTAAAAAAAAAACTAATTAAGACATGCGTTTCCGTCAACCTTAAACAATAATCTTTCTCAATTTTATTTTTCAGTCTTTATGATGGTCGATACTTGATCTATCTCTTATTGTTACACCCCCGGGCAACGCCGGGCTCTACTGCTAGTATATATATATATATATATATATATATATATATATATATATATATATATTAAGTAATTCATCGAGTGTAGAAGAAACCTCAACAGAATGCAGAAAGCACTGGACGGCCGTTTCGTCCTATATTTGGGACTCATCAGCTGTGCGCATCCACTACCGAGAAATTAAATAGGGACAGTTACGTTATCAGGCAAACGTCATATCAACTGTTCCAACGGGCCTCGAAGACGAAGAGGTAGCTAATCAGACTCACTATAGCGCCGCTCGATCCCATATTCCGTGGTGGAACTCTAGATGAGTCCCAAATATAGGACAAAACGGCCGTCCAGTGCTTTCTGATTATCTCAAATCCTCCTAATTTCTATCATATATATTGCCTTACTGCTCGACTGGAAATACCGCAAACAAAGTACAACAAAAGATAATATAATGCAATATTTATTTTTATTATCAATGTTGTTACACAATCTTTCAGACGATCCATTCTCCAGCATTCTTCAGGAGCAAGTCCCAAAGAAAAGTATGTTTTTACTTTCTTCTTCTTCTTCTTCTTCTTCTTCTTCTTCTTCTTCTTCTTCTTCTTCTTTGTGCCATGTCCCTTCAGGACGTTGGCGATCATGGCTCTCCCCAATAGGCCATACTTTGCAGCTCTCAATACCTTTTTGTCTTTTGCTTTTCCTTTCAAAACTTGATCTGCCATCTACTCACTCAAGCTCACCGTATAGATTGTGCGTTGCTTTCCTCTGATTCTCTTAGCTTCAATCTATTCAATTTTCCAAACCTTCTTTCTCATTTTCCCTGAGATTCCAACTGTCATTTCCTGATGTTAATTATACGTGTCCTTTTTGTTGCCATTTTTTTCGAACTTTGTCTTTGTTCATATATTCGCTTCATGGTATCCTAAGTATCATTCTGTAGAAACACACTTCTGTTGCTCCAAGTCTCTTTTTCGTCTCTGAGGAGATTGTCCAGCATTCATTGCCTTATAGGGGGAATCATGCAACACGACAGTTCATCACACTTTGCTTTGTTTCCAAAGACATGACGAATTGAAAATATTAGCAAACTGCTGGGAATTAAAGTTTCTTGCCAACTATGTATTAATATCTCTTTCGTTTGCTGAAAAATATGCATTATATCGTCTTACCGTTAATAACTTTTTCGTTTACTGAAAACCATGTATTGGACCATTTTACCGTTAATAGCTCTTTTGTTTGCTGAAAACCATTATTATATCATATTACGGCTAATATCTCTTTTGTTTGCTGAAAAGCATGCATTACATCGTCTCATCGGCAATAGCTTTTTCGTTTACTGAAAACCATGTATTACATCATCTTAGGGTATTAGCTCATTCATTTGCTAAAAATCATGTATTGCATCATCTTACCGGTAATAGTTCTTTCGTTTGCTGAAAACCATGTAATGCATCATCTTAAATTTAACAGCTCTTTCGTTTGCTGAACCATGTATTACATCATCTTACCGTTAATAGCTCTTTCGTTTGCTGAAAACCATGTATTGCATCATCTTAACGTTAACAGCTCTTTCATTTGCTGAAATCCATGTATTACATCATTTTACCGGTAATAGCTCTTTCGTTTGCTTAAAACCATGTATTGCATCATCTTAACGTTAATAGCTCTTTCGTTTGCTGAAAACCTTGTATTACATCATGTTACCGTTAATAGCTTTTTCGTTTGCTGAAAATCATAAATTACATTGTCGTACCATTAATAGTTCTATTGTTTGCAGAAAATCATTACATTGTCTTCAGTTAATAGCGCTTTCGTTTGTTGAAAACCATGTATTACATCATCTTACCGGTAATAGCGCTTTCGTTTGCTGGAGCTACGCAATCCTCACTTTCCAGTCTTAGTGGAGTTCAAAAGCGGATGATAAATTGTCTTTATCTACTCAAATCAATGGTTAACTTTTATCTATCCTAGATATCCTCGTACTATGCACCTCTTGTCCCACCCCTGTATCCCTTTATAGCAACCTCATTTAGTAACCCTCTACCTTTATTGACTCTTGGGCCTTGTACTGGCGAACAATAGCAAAAAAAAATATGCCATGTCCCTTCAGGAGACGTAGATGGTTATTATCTCTCTATAGTTTCCTTTTCTTTATTATCTGTGAAATTGCCTGAACTCTTGAGAATGATAGTAAAAGTTTTTTTTCTGTTCCCTTCTCAGAATTTAAAGTTTTCTTTCTCTTAGATCGGTCGCTAACCGGCCTACCCTGCTCTTTAGCTCATAGCTGATCATGTGGAGAATAAACGTGTTCTTTTTGTTCCCAAAGTGAATGCAACAGGACCGAGCGGAGTTTGAACTTGGCTAGTCTGTTCCACTTTCTCCACTGATATATGTTACACTATTCTCGCATCATTGGCAGGAACTTAAATGCAATTATAATCAACTGAAAAGGAGTTTTTATCGAAATCTCAAAAGCAAGCTTTTTCAAAACAACATTTCACTTGGAGTTAATAAGAAACTTTTATGAAAATAATCATTTGATGAGATAGATTTTGAAAATATTGTTTTTGTCACAAAAAATTTCTAATGCAAGGATCATACTTTCTTTCCAGTGAAATTACATTTTAAAGAAACACTTTTCTAAAATATCTCCGTATTTTTTTAAATACAGTTTTTCTCTAATAAAAACCGAATTTTTCTTATTTAAATAGAATAGTTGATTTTTTGCTTGATTTAGAAAACAGGTGTTTCTAGATTTGTTGTTTCTTTCCAGAGATACACAAATTTCCACACAACCAATTTTCAAAAATATTTCTATTTCTTTAAAATAATCTTTCTGCGTTTAATAAGAACCGAATTTGTTATTAAATTTAAATAATTAGATGAAATTTTGTAGACAGTTGAAAACACAGGTGCTTGCAGCCTAAAAATAAAAGTATGTAATGATTATTGTTTTCAATTAAACAAATTTTCACAATTTTCATTTTTCACTTCTAATCCGGTCCTTTCGATTAAATTTTATATCAGAATTTTTGCCAGTCAGTCTCCATACTCGTGATACAAAACATTAACATTTATAGTTGTACATTTTTTTCCTGACCTTGATTTCCCGCTATAACAACAAATCATTATTTTCAATTTCAAAGCATCCCGATGAGAAAATCCATGGGTTAGTCGGTGCCTTGAATATAGTCGTGTGGAAAACTCGCTTATTTGGTTCAGTAGAAGAAAACGACATGCGACACAAAGATAAACTCACTTATAGTGATTTCTCAAGCGTAGCTTAGACCTGGCACAAGGCCGAAAGTACGGGTCACCCAGTGAGGATCGAACTCACTACTCACTCGTAACTGTTCTAGCGAGACAAGCTTGATGACCATTACACCGCCTCCAGGTGCCCAAATATGGCGATTTCTCAGGCGTAGATTAGACGTGGCACAAGGCCGAAAGTTAGGGGTCATTCAGTGTGGATCGAATTCACTATTTAGTCGTAATCGTTCTAGCGAGGCAAACTTGCTAAGAATTACACCGCCTCAAGGTGCCCTAGTGATTTTCTAAGCGGAGCTTAGATGTTGCACAAGGCCGAAAGTATGGGTCACCCAGTGAGGATCGAACTCACTACTCAAGATAAACTTGCTAATCATTACACCACGTCGAGGTGTCCCAGATACGTAGAACCAGAAAGCAACAGTTGAAATCTCGGGGAGACATGATGAGAAAAGAACGCTTAGAAAAGTTAACACTAACTAAACATATCGAAGGTAGGAGTGACAGAAAGATTTTAACAGTGACCTTTAGAGTAGGCCACCTATATAACGGGTAGATATGATTGGATGGAAGAGTGGCGGAAAGGATGTTAAAACGACAAAGAACCACACCCACTTCCTGAATCGATGTGGGTGATCATGATCCCAGTAATTGTGAGTTTAATTCCTGTGTCAGGTAATTTCAAATTCGACTCGATAGAAACACTGCAATCAATAGCCGATCAGTGTTAAATCAAATCAAGCCGAGATATCTCTAGATATACACAGTTGAATTAAAACAATGTAACCCTATTTAGTAAATAAAGGTTACTCGGATTGACAGACACCTAATGGAGTTTAGAGGGATCAGCGATCGAAACGTTAAGACAATAGCAAAAATGACGAAGACAATAGTCCGAGTGTACATCATGTACAAAAAATAGAATATTTCAGCTAAACGAATTTTATTTTTCAGTGAAGTCTAAAAATTAAACATGGAGGTCCATTTTATCAAACTTTAAAATTGAATATTTCAAATCTGAAAATCCATTATGAAGACCACAAAGCAACAATAAACTCATACATTCTAAACAAGTGACAACAATTATGGAACTACCATAAAAAAAAATTATTACAAAATGAAATCCATCATAGGAGAATGGCATCATGGTCTCAGACTTTCTCAGAAAGAAGTTGTCCTAACAAGAATCAGAATTGGACACACCGATATCACTCATTTTCACAGCATGCCAGAAAGGATATACCATAAAATATTCTAACCGATTGCAGTAAACTTAGCCTGGTACGTCAACGATTTTATGACATGACTGGTTTAGAAGACATTTTCAAGAAGATAAAAGCAGAGACAATCCGAAGCTATTTGAAGAAGTTTGGTCTATACCATAAATTATAGCACTAAATAAATCGATTGTAAGGGCTTAAATGGAGAGTGACGGGATGATCTACGCAAAGGATTGTTTACAAAACATATATTTAATTACGAGACATATATTTAATTAAAAAAAACAACAACTTTTCGCTATTAAATAACCAACAGAGTTGATATGTCGTTAAAACAAGAAGCATTCAATCAAGATTTTATCAAGATAAACTCTTACACCAATAAGACATGTGAGTCTGTAGTTTAATAGATTATCCTCGAAGACGCATCAATACTGTAGTGAGTTCTATCTATCATGGGTGACCCATATATATGTCTTCGTGTCAGACTAACCGAAGTAATGCCATTAATAAAATTTAGAAAGTTAATTCTTTTGCATGATTAAAACAAAAAATGATATCGAGTTCTATCCTACATTTTCAAAATTGACCATAAAAAGATAACAGAGGCCGAACTTCCTCAGGATTTTATTTCTGTCATCACCCCCCCACCTCCCTATGTGTCATTTCATGTTATTTTCTTTTTCTTTCAGTCTCTTCTTTTCGTCTCTTCTTTCCCGGATATCTCCTTCACTCTTTCTATCTTTTTTTTTTATCTCTTCTCTTCCCCACTCATCTATATTCTTTTTCCTTCACTCTCTCTTTTGATATACATTTCTCATTCTCTCTTTCTATCTCTATTTGCCTATTTCCATCTCATGGCTTACGGCCACATAACGTTGCAAAAAAAAAACCGGCTCTCGCAACATCACAGAAGATGAAAAAAAAAAAAAGGAGCCTGGTAAGTATGTATATGGGTCCCCGCTTGGGAATACGAGGTGCTGTAAGCTGGAATGTGCAGGGATGTAATGGATAACGACGCGAACCGAGTTTTAATTCCAGTCGGGTTCTTTATTTTATACCTAAATACACTTTCGAAATGTATGCATCTACCCCTTGTCACCAATCAACTATAGGCTAAGTAGTAGTAACTGTATCAGTAAATCATTATTATCTCCAAAAATTATTACAATCTAAACATATTTTTCTAGTTTTAAATAACTTGCAGAAGGTTGATAAGCCGTAAAAAACAAATCAATCAATTAACTCCCCTTCATGTCCCGTATACTCTTTTATTCTCACCATGTCTTCATTTCAGAGATATCTCCCTTTTTTCTTCACCTTCCATATTCTCTTTCCTTGTCTCCTTTAATTTCTGTCACTCTTTACACTTCTCCATTATATTGTTTCTCTCTTTTTACATTATCTGTCAGATAATCTCTCCTTCACTTTCTCTCTGTGTTTCTCTCTCTCTCTCTCGCTCTCTGTCTCTCGCTCTCTGTCTCTCGCTCTCTGTCTCTCTCTATCTCTAGGTTTTCTCTTTTCGCTCTCTCTCTTCCACAAAGTTCTCTCTCTCTCTCTTCTCGCTCTCATCTCTCGCTCTCTGTCTCAATCTCTCTCTCCATCTATTTGTCTTTTTACTCTCTCTCTCCATTTTCTTTCTTTTCTTTCGCTCTCTGTCTTCTCTTTCTTTCTTCTCTTCTCTCTCTCTCTTCTCTCTCTCACGGTCTTCTCTCTGTCTCTCGCTCTCTCTCTCTCTCGAACTTAATGTCATTTTTCTCTGTCTCTCGCTGATTCTCAATCTCTCGCTTCTTTTTCTCTTTTATTTAGTATTCTGGTCTTTAAGATGTCCTTTTACTAAATTTTTTCTTTCTTTCACAACGATATCTATTTGTCTTTTACTCTCTACTCCATTTTCTTTCTTTCTTTCTTTCTTTCTTTCTTTGTTTCTTTTCTCTAAATTTCAAATGAATTAATTCGGTAATTTTTTCTTCTTGATTCTCAATTTTCTTTTCTTTTAACTCAGATTTTTAATATAAATTTTCGACAACGAAATTAACTAATGACAAAAGAAATTTCATTTAATTCGGCAAATTAAATAAACTCAAAATTAATTAAAACGAAACCCTAATGAAAAATAACATTATTCCATTTAAATTACAATAAGAGAAAATAACATTATTCCATTGAGACACACATATATATATATATATATATATATATATATATATATATATATATATATATATATATATATATAAGTATTTTAACGGACAGCTATTTTGCTCCAAATCGCTTTGTTTTGAGAGTTAAAATCAGAAATAATAGGAAAAAAAAAAAATTTTACTGGGCTTTGCTTAAATCTCTAACAGTTTTAAATATTTGTAAATCGTCTTTGAAAATAAAAAAAATAAAAATTTAAAGCTAAGCCTATCTGTTTTTAATGTTTTCATTAATATAATTCTGGTGTCTTATCAAGTGATTGTGTTGAATGCATAATAATATATTTATGTTATAAATTTCGAATAAATAATTATATTTGCTCTACTCTGTATCGAGCACTCTTTTAAGAATAGTATTTGTTGGTTATTGGAATTTATTCCGTATACACCAATCTTATACTCATATATATATATATATATATATATATATATATATATATATATATTATACAATACGAATTAAGATTACATTAGTTTAATTATAATTTTCGCCTTGTAAATTGAAATAAAATTTACAAGGGTTTTTCAAACCAGTCAATGGATGGTAAATTATTGAAATAAAACTGGACAAACAGAAGAAAGAAAAATATGTAGCTCTGTTTGATTAAAAGATTGAGCTCTCTGTGTGAATCCATTTTAATGTTTTTATTGTATTAATACGATTCACTTGGATTATAGACCAACGGATTATATATATATATATATATATATATATATATATATATATATATATATATATATATATATATACGTTTCAGTAAATAATATAGACAAGTGTTGTTTATTTATTTTATGTAAATTTTTTTCGTAACATCTGTTAAGTTTAATAACATTATCGTTGAACGAAGAAAGAAATTCCCAATATTGATCCATATTTTTTTCTATTTTAACATAATCTAAGCTTTCGGCTTACTTAAGCCATTATCAAAGATGTAAATTACAACATATTAAACAATATAAGGACACGACAGTGATGATAGTCTGTCATTGTTAAGTTTACATAGATGATCTCTAATCACCAACAATTTTAGGGAGTTTTAAAGAGTTCTGTTTCCTTAAATGTCCTGTTTTTCGCTGTTAAGGTTGTTTAATTTTTCTTTTGCTATTTCAATTTGCCTTTTCACAAGGCTACATTTGTCATTCCAAGTATTGATAGTATTGTGGGCTGCTGGATCATGTAATTTAAATTGTGTGTATTTAGGCAGCATCTTTTCATTTATACACGTTTCATTATATATATATATATATATATATATATATATATATATATATATATATATATATATATATATATATACAGAGCAACCTTGGTTCTCGACTATAATTTGTTCTGAAAGTTTGTTCTAAAACCGAATTGTTCGCGAACGAATCAAAGATGTAATGACGTACAATTAATTTGGAAATGAAAAGCACTGTAAAAGATACAAATGTATAGAAATGATTCCGTTCAGGTTAACTCGGTTCGACTCAGATCGCCTCGGTACGACTCGGTACGACTCGGATGGGCAATGTTGTTGGATTGCCAAAATTTTGTTCGATAACCGAGGCATTTTCATCTCGAATTTTCTGTTCTTGGATGAGACTGAATTTACTTTGGGGAAAATAAACGAAATTTGAATCGATTAAAATAAGAATAAACATGCTTGCATGACGATATACTTCCTAAATAGAGTTTAAGGGTGGTCCGAAAGTATTGTCACCCCAACCTGTATCATCTGCTTCAGAGGAGCTCGTTTACCGTATCTTGCAGTGAAGTCGCGTTGTACATTCTTCATGCTCATACCAGAATGCACATGTGCATGTGACCAACAGCCTCTCTTCTAAACTGTAGGAACTCGTGTCAGCCATCTGAAATAGAAAATTATATTATGTAAGTGTGACAAGACTTCCGAACCATACTATATATATATATATATATATATATATATATATATATATATATTATCATCACTTGAAACGTTATTTTAGTGGATACACATATTGAGTAGAAGCTCTGATCTTATTAAAATAAAAGATGCTCTCTCTAGTAAGATTCAAATCTGCGACCCTCTTTGCAAATCTTTGATTTGCCCAGTCTTTTATTTTCTTTTTTTGCCAAATAAACCATAAACATTTTACGACTGTGGTTTAGGCCGTTATCAATTTGATAATATAAGCAATATGGTTTCAGAGTATAGTAACTGTTGTCGGGCGGATAAATTACATTTTATCTGTCAATTGTATTGAGCGCAACTGAAAATAAAAAATATTGAGAGTTGCCCGATTTCAGGAAAGAGCTGTACCGTCCTCATTAAACTGCCTTTGTGTCACATCCCGCCAGCGTGAGGCTGTAAGTAAATGCTAAGTGATGGATCCGTGCTTAGTAGCTTAATATCTTATTTAGAACAAAAAATAACCAATCAGCAAAAAGAAGGTATAGATCAATCAAGTGCAAACTGTGGCCCAGGAGTCACAAGCGACCGCTTGGCTTTCTGAACGTCTAATTTCATGAGGGAAATAACATTTATTAAAATTTGGTTTGTTTCGTTCTCACGTGATCACTCACATTTTCTCTGACATAACCAAATTCATAAGCAATGATTAAGAACAATGTTTCTTGATTTTTTAAACTTTCGTCGAAGGTAACGTTTTCATCAATTTAAACCGTTCGCAATTCTCGCTAAAGAAAGTCAGAAGTGCCAATATATTTTGCTTTAGAAACAGGAAACGTTCATAATAATTTGTTTTTAAATATAGAAACATCTTTTCTCCAACGAAAAAAAATTAACTTTTCTTCTTACGCGTATGTTCTTCTGTAGTGAAAATGGTTCAATTCTCTTGAATCATTTTAGTATTGCGCTCGGCCTTATGGTGAGTCATATCTCATACGGTACTCTGGTCAGAAAGGTTTTCCCACGCTTGGCCTAGATGGATTTTGTCGAGAAACACAAGATATATATTAACAGCACCAGACGAGAGACATAGAAAAGGCTCATCAGAACAATTGCCATGAAAATATTTACAGAAAAGACAGAGAGAAACAACATCATGGTAGTGAGAAAAAGACTGAAGTCGAGATGCCAGGTCAGGATCAATAACATTACAGACCCTTCTTTAGACATTGAGAATATAGAGATAGATAGACTGAGCACCAGACCAGAGATGGCAACAATATTCAATGCATAGATGAATGATAGATATATAAATATGCAAGATGAATTCTGATATGAAAAATTGTCTAGCATGACTCAGTGAACCAACCTCCTTAGCAGCTAACCTAGCTTCTGACTGAGCAGTATTGCACCAAATTTGCATGCCAAATGTTGCAACCTTTTAAGTCAAATGCATTTGCACTCACGAAGAGTACCATTGCAAAAGATACAAATGCATAAAACACAACACTCATAATGGTTTTTTTGTTAATTTCTGTCTTTTCACCCCCAAGCAAGTTGATAATGATGCAAAGTCACAAGGGATTACTGGTATTGGAAGAGAATAAGATGATTTTAGTGAGGAGAAAGCAGAATAAAAAAACAAAAAAGATTCAGGAAGACAGAAGATGGCGATTGAAGTTGAATTGAAATTTTTGAAGATTGTAGGCTGCAGGGAAGCAAGAAATTGGAAGAGAGTTCTACAGGTAAGAAGTGCGAGAAAAAACGATTAGATAGATCTTACAGTTACATTTTACTATTTCAACAGTAAAACAATAATACTTACTAGCTAATCTAGTAGTACGCTTAAATTCATGTGGTCATGGTACAAAGGGGGAGAACTCTTTGGAACAACTGTGAAAATATTTACAGAAAAGACAGAGAGAAACAACATCATGTTACTGAAAAAGTGACTTAATTCAAGATGCCAGGTCAGAATCAGTTATATTACAGACCCTTCTTTGGATTTTGCCGAGAAACACAAGATATATATTAACAGCACCAGACGAGAGACATAGAAAACGAGTGAATCTATCTTCTCTTCCTCCGCCTAGCCGTGATTAGCAGCAGGTCTTAGAGAAAGACAACTCTGAATTTAAAACCGATTATAACCCTGGCTACGTACATACATTACAACCTCAGAAATGTTTATGAGGATCAAAGTTAATTGTAATGCTGTTTTGTCGACTCTGTGACCGGGACTGTCATCGATTTGATAATTTCTTACCAGCCCACTGTTTTCGATTATAAGCAAACAATTCAAAAATGGTTTCATACGTCAAAACAAATCCGTCAATAGACCCCTTTCTGTGTTTTATGATAAGTTTGTGTCGTTTAGTTTTGGGGTCTTCTATTTAGAAGTATTTTATGCTGGACATTGTACAGGCAATGCGAGAGTGCATTCTATAGTACAACACTCACAGCCTTGTTATGAAAAAACAGTTTAAAGAAAGAAAAAAGAAATCGTTTAATAATCATCTGTACATAAGAAAATACTCAAGGAGAAAAATTGAAAGAAATATGAAATAATGTATTAAGAGCAAATAAGACTTAATTTCATAAAGAAAAAACATATTTTGGGCTTTTAAAAATAATTATATTTTGTGAGAGAATATTTGCATTAACAATCTCTTGGAAATAATGATTTTTTTTTAAATACAAGTTCTATAATAACCATCTGTACATAAAAACTATTCAATTAAAAGAGACAATCTTGACAAAAATATGAAATAAGTCAAATCTATTGGGAATGGTATGTATAAGGCAAATCTATTGGGAAGGGTATGTATAAGGCAAATCTATTGGGAAGGGTA